GGAAGACTCAAAAGATATAGAGATGAAGAAAAATGGCATCTTGGGTTATTGCTTGCTTAAATACGGATGAATTTGCTATGGGCCTTTTTCTTTTTAATGCTAGGAATTATTGTTCATTATCTCGAATTATTTTTTTTCCTAAAATCTTACTTGTGTAGGCTTTTTTTTTTTAATGTTTTATTTCTTTTTTGTGCTTTCTCTTTTTTTTTTCATTAAATTATTTTAATTTTTTTAATCTTATGGATTATTGGACCAAAATTATGGATGATCGATCGTTATTCGGATTTCTTAAACAATCTAGAGAGAGAAAAAATATATGATATGTTTTCATTTTTTAAAATTAGCATATATTTTAGATTATATTACTCTTATTATTTAAAATTTATTCCTTCAATTTTTCATTTCTTACATATAACTTATTTATTATCTTTTTATTTATGGACAAATATAATTTTTTTATTCACATTTGAATTCCGAAATAAAATTTATGAACATGATTATTTTTTCTTTCTTAAAAAATATAATTTTTATAATGGATTCTTAGAATATTTGAATCATAGCTTTGTATGTAAGGCATGTGCAAGAGAAATGGTCATGTATAGCCTAGCAAAAAAAAAAAAAAAATTAGAAGGAAAAAAAATTCACGTGTTTTATTTGCTACTTCTTTATATAATAAAAATTATCAAAATCAATTTTTTAACAAGCTTTATTTTAGTTTATTAACTTCAAAATTATTTCATATATTACTTACAATTCAATTAACTTCTTTTTTTTTTTGTGTTTGCAAATTCTAAATCAACTTAGTATAGTTACTATGTAAACAAATATATATTAAATTGTTGGTTGTATATAAATTAACTATGCAACAACATAAAACATAAACCATTTCCTATTTATTTGTTTGTTTGTTTTTGGATATTATGGAATTAATTTCTTTCAAATTAAATTATTAAAATTATATTTTTTTAGAACTAACTAATAATTCAAATATAGTTTTTTATTCTAATATTGTTGATAATTTAGATCGATTCAAAAGGCCAATTTGTAATGGAATATTACATGCTAATTGATTGTTGTTTAGTCTTAGGTAATTTAAGAAAGTAATATTAGCAATGGTCGCTGAGATCTCACCAGATACATTGTTGGATTAGAAATGAAGAAACTAATGCATGGCCAATAATATGGCTTATATTTTAAGGGATAGGTCCAGAGAGTTAGTTAGATGAAAGGTCTAAAACTTACTAATGAGATGTAGTACTGGAGGCCCATTGGAAACTTCCCTTACAGCCCCATTTGGAAGAGTGACATTTTCATGATTCTATCATCATAGTGATAGCATTCTACCCCTTAAATGTATAGAAGAACCATTTTGTTCTATTGAAATTCTAAGAAGAGTTTAATAGACCATTATAAAATCATGGTATTTGGGTTCAGCCTTCTTTTCCTTAACAAAAATATAAATAAATAAATTAAATTGGCTCTCATAATCCCATAGATTGTTTCATTTAGTAGTCCTTTTAAAAAAACAAACTTGTTTCAATTAGCCTTTTCTTTCTCCCACCATTGCCTTCCTCAAGAAAGAAAATAAGATGACCAAGAAAAGGCCTAGACAAAGTTCAAGAAAATTCAATAAAAAACACAAAAGAGATATGAATTACAAAACCCAAATCCTTAAGAAACTCCTTCTTGACGCTCAAGAGACCTCCAACTCCACAAAATTGCCACTTTTCCATGGATCCCGCAAGATTGCCCTCCCTCTCTCCCCATCTAATCACATAGCACAAGAAATACTTTACTTGATTTCTACAACTATGAAGTTGTGAGGACACTCGTATCTCATCCATCACATAATAAGAATTAGTTGCCATCATTGGGCATGAATATGAGATCCTTTAAGGTTGCCAATAATCATACAAAAGCCAACCGAGTACGCAAACAACTCTACGACCCCAAAGAGAACGACAATGTTGTGGAACTACTTGTTCTCCATGGGTTATCCAACAATGTTCATTCCCTATCATAAAGAACGGATACTACTTTACTTATTTACCGTAATTGCATGTCCGATCCGCGTTGGCCACACTAGTCTTGGCCTAATGCTTCTTTTCCACGACGATCAACAATTAGGAGATCCGTGAGTCCCAACTTGAACATTAGAAATAGGCATTAGTGTAATATTTTTCTCTTTGTTTATGTGTAACATTAATGTAACTTTTCCTCTTTGTTTATGTGATTTTGAATGTTTGAATGGTTTGAATTAAAATAGTTCTTATTTTTTGGGATTCTTAAGTTATACTATGGAATTTGTTTTTATTTAGAAATTTGAGATTAATTATAATCTAGTTTTTGAAATTAATGGTTACTGCAAGTGTTGAGGAGAAAGATGATGGACAATATGAATGAGATGAAACAATTGTTGGATGAAGCGATGCCTAGTGAAGAAAACGATAAATTCATTAAAAAAATGATGAAATGGATAAGGTATAAGTGTTATCCTTATTTTTTTCAAAATTTGATAAATGTCAAAAAAAAAATTATTTTTTGTTCATTATTTTTTATTTTTAGTTTATTGGCGTAATCAATCGATGATCGATTGTGAAGGAGCATTATCCAAGATAAAGACTGGGATTGCTTGATAATTCCATTCAGCTATCCCTATGGAGAAGCCTATCGATTTATCTATCCATGAAAAATGGTTACTACAAACTTATGTATCACTACAAGAAAATGAGAAATTAGTGACGGATTTTACCATTGCTAAATAAGCATTGCGACGACACAACAAAAAATAATGGTCATCACTAAAACGCTAGTTGATAAACTTAACAATGGTAAAAACCATTCCGTCACTATTATAGTGACAAAAATTACATTGCTAAAATTAAAATTTTCGTCACTATATTGGTCACCATAAATCGTCGTAATATGCATCATTATTTCGTCACTAGTTTCGTTGTTGATTGAGGACCAATATGTCATCACCAATATCTAAAGTTAATTATTGCCGTCGTTAATCCACCACCAAAGGTTGACCAAATCTATCATAAAGGCATCTCTGGAAGCATGGAAATTGGTCATCAATTCGTCCCCATTTTGTCACTAATTATATATATTTTAAAAAAATTATATTTTTTACATTTTGTTTATTTATTTTTAAATTAATACTATTACGTATAGAAAAAACATTCGAGTAATACATAATTAACAATTAGAAAAAATAACATATAATTTAAATATTATAAATTAACTATAAATTAATATTAACAAAAAAAATTCAATAGTACATATGGGGAAAAAAACAATGTAATAAAATGTCACTCTCAAGTGTCATCCCGATCGTCTAATCCCTTATTCTCTTCCCGAGATTGGGTGGGAGGTCGGGGCGAGGCTTGGTGAGAGGCTAAGCAAGAGGCCGGGTGGGAGGGATGGTAGAGTCCCGGCTTGTAGACGGATCTAAAGGCGACTCGAACATTTGTGACAACCTAATCAATATAGAGGCCATCGTCTCATACCGAGAATTAAGCCTATGTATGGTACTCTGTTGCTCTACGACAAGGTCTTGAAGCTCGTGTTGTCCGATCCGCATCCTTTTCATCGTTTCTCTCATCTCCTCATACTATCTCCAAATCTCCTCATTAGCAACGTCGTTGGTGTAATGCGATGACTTAGAGAAGGAGTTGCTACCACTAGACTAGGATAAATAATGCAATTTGCTGCGAGAAGCATTCGCTACCTAAGATCCACGTGTCGTTCTTTTTCACTTGGATGTGAAGGGCGAGGATAATCATCCAGCATTGAGGAAAGCGTCTAGAGGACAGAAATAATGTCAGACTACCGATGTTGTTAATGGAAAGAAACAGAAACATAGTAACTAGCGATGATACCACATAAATTTAGACACTACCATGCATAATATTTGCATAAAATTAGACAATTGTACTCTCGCCTTTTTTGACTCCAAAGGGAAAAGAGCAGGGGAATTAGAAATTAGTTCTTAAGAGATAGGACCTCGAAAAAAAAATCAAGAATTTTCAAAGTTTCCAAATGGTTTCAGTTAAGCTCTTTCTGCCGATTCCATTGATATCATTTAACAATATGTTAAGAACAAACGTGCTAGGCACTTGCCATGCTATCTTTCTTTGACATCTTTAAAGCCAAAAAATAACGAAAAACATTTTTTCGAAATTCGTTACTATACATTCATTAAAAAGAAGAAAACAAATATTTATTTTCTAAAGTTTACCTCTTTTTCTGCTAATCCAGATCCATGGTTAATGTCATTGATATTTTAGGGACATTAATATTTTTTTCTTTTAACACAAATTATGATTCTATTTAATGTTCATTTCTCTTGTAGATTTTTTGTGTCTAATTTTGTGACAATTCTCCGTTTCTTGGACACCATTAGTATTGAATTTAATGTGTGCCAAGCCCTTTACCATAACATGAGTTCCCAACTTCTTTCCCTGGTTCCATTCCTACATTCACATTAAAGAGAGCACAGGGATAAAGGAGACCAGTCTATCAGTGAATCTATAAATATAAATTGACTATCTGTTAAACAACTTGAGAAAGTAGTGAAATGCAAATGGTTTTCAGATTTCGATTTTCATAGAGAAGTCAGATTAGCCCTTTTTAACTCTTTAAATTGAGAACATTTTCATGTTCATTATAAAAAATGAATTAGTATCGCCTATCATTAACTACAAGAGGTGTGAGAATTAAGGTTTTTATGGAAAGAAAAGTTCAAATCAATTTTTTGCCAGATTTAGTTTTAACAAAATATTAAAATATCAGTTTAAACAACTCTTTTCCTAATTTATGTCTTATTTCTTTTTCCACATTTTCAGCCAATTAATTGGACACTTTGTAAGCATTTCACCATCTTTTAACAGTGCATATGAGTTGTAACATTTGTTATCATGTTTTTGCCATGGACTGACAGAAGGGCATAATTGAAACTATTAGGAAATAGGGGCCCAAATAAATTCATCTAAAGATCAACTGTCACCATTATCACCACCATAGTTTAAGGACTTATTTGTACTTTTCAATGTTTTGGGAAAGTAGAAAACTGTAAGCTCAAAACCTTTGGATTTAGTTCCCGAACTGCTTTGTTGTCTCTCCCATGCCAATGATAGCTGCTCATCTCTTTCCCGGTAATCACCTAAAGTAAGCACCTTACTTTTAAAAATGTGTTAATATACATCTCAGTATGTTAACACCTTTCAAGAATGCGTCGTGTAAACATCTAACCGAAGATCCTAAATTGAGCTATAATTTAAAGAAACATGTTACCTTTTAAGTTACCTGGACAAGGGAGAAAACAAAAACAAAAATCCCAAAAGCCAATTGTTATTTGTTGTGTCCTAATTCTTTCTCGTGATTTGACAGCTAAGTTCTTGTTTACAATTACACTTATAAAGAACCTCTGGCTGCTGAAACCATTTAGAACTCTAGCATAAATTAATACGGTGCAGAATCCATTGCTGTGAAAGGAATGGAATACGTTTCTGCATCGTGTTGAACCACTGGAACCAATCTTCCAAGCGAACAAAAGCCAGTTCTAAGAAGGAAGTGATCTCATTGCTTTCAGTGGCAGTGAACTTCTCTTTCTCCATCCCGTCAAGTAGATCTGGAAATGGCAACGTTTTCATCCCACATTTGCAATCACCTTTATACAATTTGACCATAAATGCACATGGAAAAACATTTACCAAATAATTTAATCTTTAGCAAGTATGTGAAAGAACATACACATCATAAATTATACAAAAATATGTGAAAATAACTTGTTTGAACCACAGAGCTAAAGTAATTCTATCACACAAATAAAGAAGCATGTAAAATCTATACAATAAAGTGATGGACATCAAAATGTAATTGCAAAGAGCCTTACTGTGAATAACCAAAAATAGGGTGAGGGGGTTTCCATTAGTTGGATACTGAACAACAAATTCCTCTGAGGCCTGACTGCAATTACAAACGAAAAGACATTACAAAATTACTTCAGGGATGAATCTGGCAAATAATCTTTCCAGCCCAATTTAGGATTTTTTTGAAGAAGCCACTCAAACTTGAAGATTTAAATTCACTTCAAAAACTTGAACAACACACTTAAATACCTTAGAGCTTCAGAACCCAAAATTTGTTCCCGTGGAATCCATCCATTAATGTTCATTAAATCTAACCAGTGTCCAAGAACATCTAAACATATCCAGATATCCCAACGCCTGCTCTCACCCAAAAAAAAGACAGTTAGCTTGACAACAATACAACTTAACTCCATATTGCAATTGGAAATTAGACATGACCAGATCAACAGTTAATGAAAACCTTCATCCCATAGAAATCCCCTCGGAAAGAACGGTCTACTTCGAACAGCTGTATACAGCTCAGCTGGCCAATATGAAATAAGATTATCGTTTCTAAACTGCAAGTAAAAATGGCCAACTGTATGACTTTGTCAGACAAAAATGATGACAGTGAATCATACATAAAAAGAAACGGTTAGGTCAGTTGAATGCAGAGAAAACGTCACTTTAACAAGATAAGCGTAGAAGATAGAGAGGTCCAGGCATCTAATGAACTGATATAGATAATGCTTGCTCATTATTTGACATTTTTTGTCTTACTACCCGTCCACACACTGCACGGCACATGGAATCCTAACTGCAAAGACATGAACAAGTTCAATACACGTAAGTTGGACCTATATGAGCATTGATTTAGCATTTCTATCATGGTGAATAGACTTTTCCCATCGAAATGTGCCCTTATGTCATAATTTTAGATTAAAAGTGACACTCTCAAAGCCTTTTCGTATCAAAATTATGCTTTTAAAACAAGTGCTGCAATTTTGAAAGTAGAAAGAATAGCCAAGATAAGTAACTAAGAACCAGAAGCTTAAGAAGTATTCAATTGAGAGATGACTCAGTACTCAAAACACGGACGGTAGGAGTTTATGCCACTAATGAATAACAGGAATTTAAATTGAGCAATTTAACTACTACACTTATTAAAGAGATCATAGGTTACACGAAAAATAAAAAACAAAAAACGAATGCATACTACTTATGTTAGAATTTCCAGGGTATGAAATCTTTGATTGACCATAAAACTAACAAATGCCTCCCAACATATTAGCAATAGCAGCCTTACCACCAATTGTGAATTCAGATTCAAGATGAGCAAACAAGTAGAAGATGTCAGAATTCTTTTAATTCAAGCAAAAAAATATATATATATATATATATGGTTGGGTACTTTACAGTTGCCACGATAAACCATACTTCTCATCAATCTTGTCTCCTAATAATCTTTTCCCCTCAATACCCTCTTTCACATCTATAAATTCCTCACATTCCTTTTCAACCCATTCCATCACATGCATGGATCTTTTTACACATTGATGGCCAGGAAAATATTTCCCCCACATCTAAAGCATAATCTCAATCTCCTTCTTTAGTCCTACAATGTTTCTATCTGGTTTTTTAGAATGCCTAAATTGGTAGGTTTGTAGTGGCTATTGGTTTCAGGTCTGATTGTGGAAGTGTAAGTTTTTTGCTACTGATTGGAATATGGTTTAGAGTTATTGCAAGAAGGTAAGGTTTTCAGAATAATTCTAACTTTCTTGTACACAACAAAAGTGGATTTTTTCTGCCATTTTTCTTAATCAAAGGCTTGGATTAGGGTATTGGGTTTTAAAATTTTAAGCATTGGTTTTATATCTTCTTTGGGTCTGCTAATAAAGATAGAGATAAAGTAAGATTCAAGAAGATAAGGATTGGCCACAATCACCAAAAACTTAAGTTCTTCAAACCGTTCCACATGTTCATCAACATCCCTCTCTTGACTTATCTTATTAAACTCCTTTACTACATGAATTTTTATTTAAATGATTGAATTATCAAGTATTATATTTAATTAGAAAATAATCCATGAATAGTAAGCAATAAATTAAGATTTAACACCTTTTTTTTTAATAAAAATTCCATACAATAGGAAATTATTCCAAAAATTCAATAAAGCATTTCATAAATTCATTTAACTAATATTTTGGCCATTTAAAATATTTTTTGGACTTAAGAAACTTTGGTTCCTAATTTATTTAAAACTAACCCATTAAATGCATTTATTCCTTAGCCATTAATTTCCTTTTAAGTTTTAACCTTACTACTCCTTTTTTCATACCCTTTTAATTCCTTACTTTTTATCCTTAACTTATTAGTTGTTAAATTAAGTCACCATTTACGTATTATCTTCCTATAAACCTTTAATTCATTTCTTTTCGTAATGAATTAATTCATTTAGATCATACCATTTAGGTTAGCAAGTTATTTAACTAATTAATCCATATCACAATACAAACTTAACATTTAATCATACCATTCATTAATGCATACCAAAATTTTCTTAACCTATTACCAAATATACATAACCAAAATTAAGTTAAGTAAAAGTAAAGTTTTGTATACCCTAACACATTAAGCACACTTAAAGGCAAGTCTTCAAGTTTTCTCTATGATGGACCTTAGTTATCTTTCTCTTATCCTAAACCATAAGAAACAAAGGCGAGAAAGGCCCAGTAAGTATAATCCATACAATGCATGTAATACCTTTTATGCATGTAATGCACATGACGTATTTAAAAATCATTTTCATGCCTTTTAAAATTCATTTTCGTCTTCGAATGCACCCTATTGATTGTGAATATAATCGACCCTCTTTTAAAACATGCAACCGTAAAAACTTCACAAAAGCACTAGGTACTTTCTCATAAAATTTTTCTTTACATGCTAAGAGTATATAACGGATCATTCCCTTCGCGTATCCTTATTTTCCTTTACATGCTAAGAGTATACCCTAGATCATTCTCTTAGCATGTCTTTATTTTCCTTTGCATGCTAAGAGTATACACCAAATCATTCCCTTAGCATGCCTTTTTTCATAAGACAGGGTGATCATTCCTATCCCATAACCTTAAGAAGGCACATAGTCGTTCCTTTTTGAAAACCTTTTCCTTTTCCTTCCATCAAAAGCATGAATGTAAAACCTTTTTCATGATTATAATGTGTAAATACATTTAAATATAAATGTTTGCATTAACATAAATCTCAACATTCGTACTTTCAAATCTCAAGAACATGTAACATAAATAATACATCAATTACGTGTTCTACACAAATTAAGTATGCATGCACCATGAATATAAATCATGCCTTAAAAATAATCATGGTCGACATATTTAAGCAACATAAGCCATCCATTTTTCACATGATTATAATCATGTTTCATGTCAATTTATATCTCTAAATCTCAAAATTATCACTAACCTCAAAAGAACCTCTTATTCTTTTGTTTCCCATTATTAGGTCGAAACTAGGCCAATGGAAGAGCAACTTTTATTTCATCAATTTACCTCAATTTTTCACCTCTAACCTCTTAACATAATACGTTTTTCATTATTTTAACATCAAGTAGGTTAAGTTAATCAAGAAATAAAAACTTTATGCTTGGCCAAAATTCTCTAACAAAGTGACCAAATTTCAAGTTTTTCAATTCAATACCATTAACACCATTCAAGCATATCATCAATCACCTTGCAAACAATAGGTTTTAAAACTATTAGTTTATTCATGTTTAAGGGCATCCAACCACCTGGTTATAAGAAAAAGGAAAACATCAAAACTCATGAATTTATTCCTATTAATCATCCTAAGTAAGTGGTTTAGAGTTATGGTTGGATAGTTTTCTTCTTGGTGGAACTTGTTCTTCCTTTTGGTGTCACTTGAACATTCATGGCTTTTAACCCTTCTTCCATCTTCTTCCTCCATTTTTATGGTCATGGTTTTCCCTTAGCATTAAGCCAAGTGTGTCACACTTGGTTTAATCTTAAGGTTGGTTATTGATGGCTTATAGATTTTTCTTCTTCTTTCTCATCTTTTTTTCCTTTTTTCCTTAGATATTTTTCCTTGTTTCTTCCTTCTTTTTTCGCCTCTATTCTTCTCCTCTTCTCTCAAATTTTCCAGAATTATTTAGATAAATTTGTTCCCTTAAAATCAATTTAATAAGTCCTCTAAATTTTCATCACTTTACATTTTAGTTCGTAAACTTGTAATCTTTGCAATCGAACCCTCCAATTTTAGTCTATAACTTCACAATTTTCCTCAATTTGGCTCTTATCCTAGACCTTTTCCTTGGGTAATTTAAGTCCCTAAAGTTGCTTAATCATTTTAGTCAAGTACCTAAATTTTTAATTATTGTGATTATTACAATTATGTCCTTAGATTAAAACATAACCATATCAATTAAGGTTACCACTCTCTAAGTCAAGTCTTACTCGTTCTATTATCCTTTCCTTTTAATCATACTTGTATTTATCTCATTCTTAATTAAAGTTTAAATTTTTATTCCTCACGTTTAATAAACATATTTTTATTAATTAACTAAAATATCTTTACAATATATTTATATTTAAGGACGATTTTGGGTCGCGGATATTACAATTTTGGGTCATGGATATTACATCATTCCCTCCTTAAAAAATTCTATCCTCAAAATATGTTTTTTTCTATCATCATACACTACATTACATATCTTGTTATTGTTTAAGCGAGTGTCATTAATTGTTCCTCCCTATCCGTGGTATTCCTATTTGGACTATCTCCGTTATTATTGTTATTATCCCTCTTTGGTGGCATCCTATACTAACCACATGTGTAATCACTCACCATGTTACTTTCTTTTCCTTAGTTGCTTATTAATAATTCAACCAATAATACATTTACATTCACATTCAAAACATCATAGTCAAGATAACATTTGCATAACAACAAATAAAAAGACCATATAATCATACATTTACCGACCATCACATATCCTAGATCCTTACTTATTGTTGAGACTTGACTTACATGTGCTTAATCGGTCATCCTAAATCGGATAGGTAGGGTAAACCTACTCGATACCATTCCGTAACGCCCCTACCTAAGATTTAAATAGGTCGAGGATATTATCGGCATTGACTTACACTCGCAGTACAATGAATGTAAGCCAACAATCCTCCTTCTTTAACATTTTTAATTTATTAGTTAAGTGAGCAATTCTTATATGAGGTCCCCAAATAAATATGAAATAATAGGTCCACATTAAATAATACTTAGGCATAAACTTTCTCAAAAGTTCAATTAATTTTAATTGATATTCCTACACTATGTGTAAAAATATTAAATGACATATTTTGGTTAAAAATTCATATCTTTGAAATCCAAATTAATCATTTAAATA